CTATCTGGAGTCTTTCATTGTCAACTTAATTAAATTCATAAATCACGTTTATGTCAATTGTAGCCACTTACGACTGAAGGACCTCCTCTAAATCTCGCAAGTAAGTCTGAACCAAGCAACGAAACTCTTGAACCAGTCCCTCTCGGCGAGAGCCATAAACGTCACGTGGGTGGCATTTCAGTAGAAGAATCACGTGATTTGATGCGTCAGGCGGACTTGATTGACAGGAAAGTGGAAAGGCAGCGAATTAAAAGCAAACACAAAGAACAAAGACGAAAAGTTAAGAAACGACGGCGGGAGGAACAGGTAACTATCAACAACATTTTTTTGTTGTTGTCATTGTTGCGAAAAAATCATCGCGGCATTAGTTTATTGCCAGCTTTAGCTCTTAATGTTAGTAGCTCGCGGTTTTTCTCTGAAGGTTTGAGACGTTTGTTGGGTTAACAGGTGGACTAGCGAGGTCTCCTGTTTAGAATTAGGATTAAACTAAATTGATGTTTGTTTGTCAGGGTGTATCAGGTGTCGGTTTAGTGGACGACGGAGAGGCTGAAGAACTCGAGGACTCTGAGGATGAAGAACAGCCACAGAGGTACTGTATTGTAGCTGTTTCAATCAAAATTTAAGGCTAATGGTTGGTTGTGTTTTTGACGATCCTCTTTGAATCTTAACACCAAGGAAGAAATAATTGCCTTTTTCCAACTACTCCCTTCTTCTTCTAAGCTCTAGCTGGGCCTGGCTTTTTGACTGAAACACTATACTGTATACACCACCAGTACACAAGACCAAGAAGTTGAGTCAAANGCTAGAGTAGTCTGTCGTTCGTCGCCAATTCATAGCTCTCATGTCGCCGTTTCAAGGCCATGTCGCTTGTCGGAATTTACCCCTAACAGGGTCTCATTAGTTTATTGCCAGCTTTAGCTCTTAATACCATGTTAGTAGCTCGCGGTTTTTCTCTGAAGGTTTGAGACGTTTGTTGGGTTAACAGGTGGACTAGCGAGGTCTCCTGTTTAGAATTAGGATTACACTAAATTGCTGTTTGTTTGTCAGGGTGTATCAGGTGTCGGTTTAGTGGACGACGGAGAGGCTGAAGAAGAACTCGAGGACTCTGAGGATGAAGAACAGCTACAGAGGTACTGTATTGTAGCTGTTTCAATCAAAATTTAAGGCTAATGGTTGTTGGTTGGGTTTTTGACGATCCCCTTTGAATCTTAACACCAAGGAAGAAATAGTTGCCTTTTTCCAACTACTCCCTTCTTCTAAGCTCTAGCTGGGCCTGGCTTTTTGACTGAAACACTATACTGTATACACCACCAGTACACAAGACCAAGACGTTGAGTCAAATTTAAATTGTTTTCTTTTTTTGGTCCATAGCCCCAAGAAGAGGAAGGGCTTCTCAAAGAGTGACGGAGTCTCAGATATTGCTCTGGATTTGGCGCCCCAAGGGCCATCTTTGGCAGAAGACGAGGAACTAGTTTTGCAGCTTCTGTCGGGA